GTAGTAGTAGTAGTAGTAGTAGTAGTAGTAGTAGTAGTAGTAGTAGTAGTAGGTAGCAGTAGTAGTAGTAGTAGTAGTAGTAGTAGTAGTAGTAGTAGTAGTAGTAGTAGTAGTAGTAGCAGTAGCAGTAGCAGTAGTAGCAGTAGCAGTAGCAGCAGTAGTAGTAGTAGTAGTAGTAGTAGTAGTAGTAGTAGTAGTAGTAGTAGTAGTGGGAGGAGGAGGAGGAAGACCAGTGTAAGTCCCAGACTCATCAACGATAGAGGAGTATCCCCCCGCTCCAGGATCCCCTTTTCATAGGCCCCTACAAGGGTTCATATTCACTGAGGGAAGTGCCTCGCTTGGAGAACATCGTTTGAAGATCCTGAAGTGTGCCAAAACACCATTCGGGACTCCAACGCCACAAATCAATCTGACTGCGTCTTGACGATCTGTAATCGTGCCATAACGCCGTTCGTGGGACGCCAACACCGCGAAACAACGTAACTGTTGTGCCGTGGCAATCCTGAATTGCTCAAAACGCAATCCCTGGTTCGCCAACCATGGGAATCCGTGAAGTTCTTGCAAACGGTTAAGACGAATGTGCGCGGCGCTCAGGCGAGATCGACATCTTGAAAAGGAACCGCCCTCGATCCGTGAAGCACTGGAAATCTTGTAAGACGGATGTGCGCTGTGCTGAAGCGAGAGTCACATTTTGAAAAGGAACTGGCCTCAATCCGTGAAGCTCTTGCATGTGTTCAAGGCGAACATGTGCGGCGTGAAGCTTGAGGAGGAAGAGGATAATGATGAGGATACTACATACACATATATTTATATATATATGTGTATATATATAGAGAGAGAGAGAGAGAGAGAGAGAGAGAGAGGAGAGAGAGAGAGAGAGAGAGAGAGAGGAGGGGGGAGACTTGAGTTGGAGGAGCAGGATGTGGATGAGAGAACAGGGAGTTGGAAGTGTCTGACGAGGAGGGCGAGGACGATGAGGACGCTTTTTTGCTGCTAGAAACAACCCGGCGCGCCGTGCCGCAGCTGGCCGTCGAGGAAAGTAGCGGCGGGCACAGCAGCCAGGAGGCAACACCCACCCAAGGCCCAAGGCGCCTCACACCATTCATTGCTTCAGCGCTGAGAGGCGATGAAGGGGAGGGAGTAAGACGAGGTGCGGAGGAGCCGTTTTGGCTGGAGCCACTTCGGCGGCCCTTTGGGGTCCTTGGGCGCCTCCCCCGCCTGCGTGTCAGCCCAGCTGGTCCACCTGAGCATGGCCGATCCAGCCAACCTGGGCAGCTCAAGCAGCTCAGGCCAAATTTAGAGGCGGAAGTTGTAAGGCGCCCCGTGATGGCGATTTTTAGATGCTTCGCAGGGTCACCGGGGAGGAGGAGTATCAGGAGAGGGATGAGCATGAGCGGGAGGCGAAGGCAAGGGTGGAGGAGCAGGAGGAGACTTACATAATGGGACACGACATGATTACTTCAGGAAGCTCTTAAGCGTACATGTCAGAATAGGGCTTATGGAAATGCATTGCAAGGGGGAGGATGATGGGGACGCGGGAGTACCACCAACATGTTTTTGCGGGCTCTGCCGCCCACTGAGGGGGGCAGCTGATTTTCATTTTCATGGCATCAGTGGTAGCTCAGGCAGCAGGCGTGGTGTCAGCGGCCGAGCGCGGCAGGCGAATTGGCAACGCGCTGTGGAGCTGTTTCGCGACGTGGTCGAGGCTTGCTCTTCATTCTCTTTTCTGATAGTCCAGTGTCCATTCACAACATCATCTGGTGCGTTCCGTACTTGTAGATGGAGAATGAGGAGGAGGAGGAGGAGGAGGAGGAGGAGGAGGAGGAGGAGGAGGAGGAGGAGGAGGAGGAGGAGGAGGAGGAGGAGGAGGAGGAGGAGGAGGAGACTTCGCCCAGGACCAAGGAGGACGATCACCCTGTTGCGTTCCTTGCTCTCATCTCGCCGTGCCCAGCCATGCTCCGCACGAGGGGCTTCCGGCGGGGTCGGCTCGGGTGCTGCTTCGCAGAGCACTCGGGGTCCACCACGGGGGCGCGAGCAGTTCACCCCGCGGCTCGCGCCTCGCGGCGTGGGCCGCCGGAGAGCTGCCCTTCTCCACTGGGGGCGGCGCGAGGGTCTCGAAGCGAGCCGCGCTCCGCGCTGCGCGACGCGTGAAGTCACTTTGGTCACCTAGCATCCTCCTCCTCCTCCTCCTTCTTTTCCTCCTCCTCCTCCTTTTCCTCCTCCTCCTCCTCCTCCTCCTCCTCCTCCTCCTCCTCCTCCACGAGGCTGCGGACGGGTTGTAGGCCCCTGGCTGCGCCTGCTGGCACTCCCCTTTGGGGAGGTGCTGGGGCCCTTTATCTCACGGTCGGGCTTGCGCCCGAGCCGCCTAGCTGTGCCTGCACGCTTGGCGCCGCGCCTGATGAAAAAATGACTCCTCCTCCTCCTCCTCCTCCTCCTCCTCCTCCTCCTCCTCCTCCTCCTCCTCCTCACATGCACCAGGCCCGTGCTCGAAATGTTTGCCGCGACGCCCAGTGATCCGCGGAGACTCCTGCGCCCCCAGGCTGGCGCCTCGTCGCGTGCAGGGCGGCGCAACTGCTCGCACCCCTCCGCCCTCCAGTGCCCGCCCCCCTCCGCCCGAGGAGGACCAGGAGGAGCACGACCATGAAGAACATGGGGAGGGCGAGGAGGAGGAGGAGGAGGAGGAGGAGGAGGAGGAGGAGGAGGAGGAGCATGAGCAGCACGAGTAGCGTCGGGAGGAGCAGCAGGAGGAGCAGGAGCAGGAGAAGGAACAGAGTGAGCAACGACAGGAGGAAGAGGAGTTGAGGAGGAAATGGAGGGTGCCGCGACCCCCCCCCCGTGGACGGAGGGAGGAGGAGCGTGGAAGGCGGAGGCCGATCAGCACGTGGAGGAGGGAGGGGGGGAGAAGATAACGAGTAGGGAAGGCCGGCTGCGATTGCCGGTGCGCTCTCCCTTCCACTTCGTTGTTTGTTTTGTTGTCCTTCTCTTCGTCCCGCGTCGTTGTTGGTATTGTCTTCATTCTCGTCCTCGCCTTACCTTGACATCGCTTCCCGCGTCCTTCCTCCCTCCTCCTTCCTCGCCGTTCGACACGCTGCCGCAAATCCATGGTTCCAGCCAAAAGCCTGTCTCCTCCCTCCTCCCTCTTCCTCTGCCCCGTCCCCCCTCCTCCTCCTCCTCCTCCTCCTCCTCCTCCTCCTCCTCCTCCTCCTCCTCCTCTTCCTCTTCTCCATCCTTTTTCCCCAAGCAGTTCTTGCACTCAGGGTTTCTGATTTGTTCCCAACCATCCTGTGGTGTTGGGTCCTCGTTTTGAAGAGACGTCGCCCCGCGTTCCTTCCTCCTTCCTCCTTCCTCCTCCTTCCTCCTCCTCCCCTTCCTCCCCCCTCCTCCACCCCCCATTCTGGCACACCCCTCGCACGTTTCGTGGCCCCATAGGGAGGGAGCTCCACCGAAGGCCCCAGTGGCTGCGCCCGCATGCGGTTCCACCCCCCATTCTGGCACACCCCTCACACGTTTCGTGGCCCCATAGGGAGCTCCACCGAAGGCCCCAGTGGCTGCGCCCGCATGCGGTTCCACCCCCCATTCTGGCACACCCCTCACACGTTTCGTGGCCCCATAGGGAGCTCCACCGAAGGCCCCAGTGGCTGCGCCCGCATGCGGTTCCACCCTCCATTCTGGCACACCCCTCACACGTTTCGTGGCCCCATAGGGAGCTCCACCGAAGGCCCCAGTGGCTGCGCCCGCATGCGGTTCCACCCCCCATTCTGGCACACCCCTCACACGTTTCGTGGCCCCATAGGGAGCTCCACCGAAGGCCCCAGTGGCTGCGCCCGCATGCGGTTCCACCCCCCATTCTGGCACACCCCTCACACGTTTCGTGGCCCCATAGGGAGCTCCACCGAAGGCCCCAGTGGCTGCGCCCGCATGCGGTTCCACCCCCCATTCTGGCACACCCCTCACACGTTTCGTGGCCCCATAGGGAGCTCCACCGAAGGCCCCAGTGGCTGCGCCCGCATGCGGTTCCACCCCCCATTCTGGCACACCCCTCACACGTTTCGTGGCCCCATAGGGAGCTCCACCGAAGGCCCCAGTGGCTGCGCCCGCATGCGGTTCCACCCCCCATTCTGGCACACCCCTCACACGTTTCGTGGCCCCATAGGGAGCTCCACCGAAGGCCCCAGTGGCTGCGCCCGCATGCGGTTCCACCCCCCATTCTGGCACACCCCTCACACGTTTCGTGGCCCCATAGGGAGCTCCACCGAAGGCCCCAGTGGCTGCGCCCGCATGCGGTTCCACCCCCCATTCTGGCACACCCCTCACACGCTTCGTGGCCCCATAGGGAGCTCCACCGAAGGCCCCAGTGGCTGCGCCCGCATGCGGTTCCACCCCCCATTCTGGCACACCCCTCACACGTTTCGTGGCCCCATAGGGAGCTCCACCGAAGGCCCCAGTGGCTGCGCCCGCATGCGGTTCCACCCCCCATTCTGGCACACCCCTCACACGTTTCGTGGCCCCATAGGGAGCTCCACCGAAGGCCCCAGTGGCTGCGCCCGCATGCGGTTCCACCCCCCATTCTGGCACACCCCTCACACGTTTCGTGGCCCCATAGGGAGCTCCACCGAAGGCCCCAGTGGCTGCGCCCGCATGCGGTTCCACCCCCCATTCTGGCACACCCCTCACACGTTTCGTGGCCCCATAGGGAGCTCCACCGAAGGCCCCAGTGGCTGCGCTCGCATGCGGTTCCACCCCCCCATTTCGGCACACCCCTCACTCGTTTCGTGGCCCGGGGGCGCCACCGAGGAATATATCCACAATTGCGGTATTCACAACTACGTATGGTTGGGTCTTTCGTCAGGCTAATTTTCGACGGAACTGGGCCTGACGGTTGGTCTGGCGGTTAACTATGTTGTCGCCGTCGCCGTTCCGTCGCCGTCTCTTTGCCGCCTCGTCGCGGCCCGTCGACTGGGTCTGAGGGTCGGTTCGGCGGCTATATTGTCGCCGTCGTCGCCCCGTCGCCGCTTTGTCGCCATTCGTCGTCTGGGCCTGACGGTCGGTCTGACGGCTATGTTGTCGTCGTCGCCGCCCCGTCGCCGCCTCGTCGCCGCCCGTCGTCTGGGACTGACGGTCGGTCTGACGGCTATGTTACCGCCGTCGCCGCCCCGTCGCCTCCTCGTCGCCGCCCGTCGTCTGGGCGTTGTTATGCATTGACTTGTATTGCTTCGCGTTGCTTTGTATGCGTTTCTTTGCCCTTCTTTTACATGGACTTGCGCAACTTATTTTGCACCACGCAGATCGCGCCACGTCGATTGCACCAAACATGCTCACAACACCGGTTGCACACCAGCAGTGCACTTCATATACCGCGCCACATAGATGACACCATTATCATTGCACCACACAGATTGCACAACGTGGATTCCGCCACATGCACTGCACCACATATATTTGGTTTGAGGGAAGGAATTAGGACTGACCCCCTTGGGATACTGGTCCCCTCTGGGGGATCGTACGCAATACATGTGGTTTTACCCCATCGCTCATTTTCAGTCTGAACTCGTACCGTCCCAGGGAGACCTGGTGTCGACCGCCCCCCTCTTCATCCCTGCCACATAATTATATGCCAGCGTTCGTTTGTTTAAAACAACAACAGTCCTCATCACCCCGCTTGGACGAAGTCCATTCGTCCCATCGTTCCCATTTTTTATACAAACTACCCGGGGACTTACCCAACCCTTTGTACACATGAGGCGATTACACATCGGACCGCTTAATAAAAAAGCAAGCACTGAAGGATCCGCCGTGCTCTTGATTGCGTCGCCAAAGAACGTTAGACCAGAGTCAAATGTTGCACATTCGCGGCATCACTCTTAAGAGTCATATTGTTGGCAGGAAGGCGTCCACGAGGGGGCGTGGAAACATGCAGATGAGGGGGAACTGGAGACATGCTTCGTGGAAGTAGCAGCGCATCGACCTAGGTTCTCATTGCGGAACAGCGCCATGCGCGCTACGACAGAAGAGCGCCCTGCGCTAAGCGTTGTAAGTGCCCGGGTGCACTACTGAGAAGATGCAACTGAAGAGTCGATGCGGCATGGGCGCATGACAGCGCCATGCGCTCCGTGGCGCCCCATCCCGCTGCGATCTGCGATCGGACACCGCAGCGAGGTCTCATGGTGGTCCCCGTGGGACACCCCTCCGCTGGACCTCCCAGAAGCTCACGAAAGTAGTGACAGTTTTGCAGATCGGAGCTCAACAGGGACGGCGAGGTCTCGTGGTGATCTGCGTAGGACGTACTTCCGCTGGGTCTCCCAGAAGCCCACGAAAGTGGCGACAGTATCGCAGATCGCAGCCCCCCTGGGGGCGACGAGGTCTCGTGGTGATCTGCGTGGGAGGTACCTCCGCGTAGGGGTGGGGCGGGGTGGGGGGGCGCGATCCCTGCCACGTAGTGCCATGCGGGCCACTCGCGCATGTCGGCCGCGCGCGCATGTCGAAATCCTTCCAAGCCCTTCATCGCCTTCGCGTCTGCTGCTGCCGACGTCGCCGTGAAAATGCGCCCGCCCGAGTCACCGACCGACTCGCACTGAAGTTCCCGCGCGTCAGCGCGGCCTGCGAGACGCGCTGGGGAGTCCCCGTCGGTCAGCGCCACCGCGGCCGCGTCGGTCGCGCCAGACAAGCCGGCCGTTGTGCGCGCGAGCCTGCGCGAGCTAGCGCGGC